TCGTCCGCTCTCGCCGTCTCGCACGCCGAACCCGCCGACCACGTCGACTGACCGCTCGTCGTCGCGCCCAGGTACATGCTGTGGGACCCGTCCGTCCTCGACTCGGAGGAGGGCATCCGCTTCTGGGGCCGCTCGATCCCCGAGTGCCAGGAGGTGCTCCCGACCGCCCCGGGCGGCTCCGAGATGCTCCCCGAGGCCATGTTCTGGTACCTCCTCACCGGCCGCGTCCCGTCCGAGGCCGAGAGCAAGCAGTTCCAGGAGGAGCTCGTCGAGCGCTCCGAGCTCCCGACTTACGTCGAGAAGGTCCTTGACTCGCTCCGTGCGTCCCCACTTTCTCCCTCCCTCCCTCCCTCCCTCGTCGTCCTGGTCCTCGAGCGAGCCCGCACTGACCCTCCCCCTCGCGCGCACCCACCCACCCGCAGCCAAGACGCTCCACCCGATGACCCAGTTCGTCATCGGTGTCGCCGCCCTCAACCACGACTCCAGTTCGCGTCCCAGTACACGGCCGGCATGAAGAAGGCCGACTACTGGGTCCCGGCCCTCGAGGACTCCCTCGACTGCGTCGCCAAGTCGTTCACCATCGCTGCCCGCATCGTGCGTCCCTCCTTTTCCCTTCTCTGCGTCTTGGGGCGGTCGAGCGAGGAGGCGGTCGCTGCAAGCAGGAAGACGAGGAAACTGACTCGCGGCCCTCGTCCCCGCAGTACAACAACAAGTACCGCAACGGCGCCTCGGACATGCCCGCGATCGACAAGTCGAAGGACCTGTCGTACAACTTTGCGAACCAGATCGGGTTCGGCGAGTCCGAGGGCTTCGTCGAGCTCATCCGCCTGTACAACGCGCTCCACACGGACCACGAGGGCGGCAACGTCTCGGCGCACACGGCCCACCTCGTCGGCTCGGCCCTGTCGGACCCGTTCCTGTCGTACTCGGCCGCGCTCGGCGGCCTCGCCGGCCCGCTCCACGGCCTCGCCAACCAGGAGGTGCTGCGCTTCATCATCGGCATGCAGAAGGAGCTCGGCGACCACGCGTCCGAGGACAAGATTGTCGAGTTCATCTGGAAGACGCTCAACTCGGGCCAGGTCATCCCCGGTTACGGCCACGCCGTCCTGCGCAAGCCCGACCCGCGCTTCATGGCGCTTCAGCAGTTTGGCGTCAAGCGCAAGGAGGTCGCTCAGGACCCCATCTTCAAGTACGTCGACCAGCTCTACAAGGTCGCCCCGGGCGTCCTCACCGAGCACGGCAAGACCAAGAGTGCGTCCCAGTCTCGCTCTCCTCTCCTTTTGGTTCGTCCTTTGCCGGGTCCTGACCTCTCCCCTCTCGCGCAGACCCGTTCCCTGTGCGTCGGCGAATCTCTGCGTCTCGGTTGTGTCGATGCACGACGTGGTCGCTTGCGTTGAGCTGCTCTGACCCTGCGCGTCTCTCTCCTCGCAGAACGTCGACGCCGCTTCGGGCTCGCTCCTGTACCACTACGGCCTCAAGCACTTCGAGTGCGTCTCTCAATCTCTCTGTTGCGGTTGTCGTTGCAGTCGTCGAGTTCGGCAGCCTGACCCTCCTCTTCTTCCCCCTCCTTCTCTCCTCCTTTCGCTCGCAGGTTCTACACCGTCACCTTCGGTACCTCGCGCTCCATGGGCGCTCTGGCCCAGTACGTCCACGACCGTATCCTCGGCCTCCCCATCGAGCGCCCCAAGTCGCTGTCGGTGCGTCCCTCCTCCCCCTCTTCGCGGTCGAGAAGGTCCACGAGTCACTGACTCGCCCTGTTCGCCCACAGATGGAGGCGCTCAAGAAGCTCGTCGTGTAAACGTCGTTACTCTAGAACCTGTGCCTCTCGAGTCGATATGTGCGAAGCTGTGCCCGTCGTCGTCGGTTCCTCGTTGCCGAGGCACCTCGCGCCCACGAGCCTGCGAAAATGGGATCCCGTTCTTCCGTTCTCTCTTTTGATGTACGAGAGTGTTTGAGAGTGTGTCGTGCTGCGCGAGAGAGCGCAAGAAGACGTCGCAGAGCAAGGCGAGCGAAAGAAGACCCGAAGCCGGCTGACAACGACGAGGCCAAGTCGGAATCCGCGACGGCTTCTCCCTTCTCCTCGCTCCCTCGCTCGCCACATACCGCGCCTTGCGATGAGCTTCCCGCCTGCACGCCTTCTCGAGCTCGCCGAGCTCGTCGTCACCCGCCTGCGCGCACGCAAGGTGCGCCCACCGCTCTCAGCTCCTCTCCGAGGTGGGGCCGGCCGCTCACCTCTCGCCCCTCGCACGCCCACAGGAGACGGTCGCGCTCGTCGAGACTGCGACTGGCGGCCTCGTCTCGTCGTCCCTGCTCTCGGTGCCGGGCACGTCGAGCGTGTTTGCCGGGGCCGTCGCCGCGTACCAGCTCCGCGCGAGGGAGAAGTGGCTCGGGTGGACGAGCGACGACACGGCCGGCTACGAGTGCGTCCCCTCTCTCTCTCTCCTGCACCTGCACTCTAGAGACAAAGAGCTGACACGCACGCCCACACAGCGGGCCGACCGAGGCCATCTGCCTCAAGCTCGCGACCGCCTGTCGCGCCCAGCTCGACTCGACCTACTGCCTCGCCGAGTCGGGCTGCGCCGGCCCAGGTCGACCCGACAAGTACCGCGCCGAGATCGACGGGCCCGGGTGGTGCGCGCTCGGGCTCGTGAGCGCGAGCGGGACCAAGGGTAGGACGATCCGGGTGCCGCAGGACGGGCTCGGCGACGACGGTGCGGCGGCGAGGGCAGGGAACATGGTCAAGTTTGGCGAGGCCATGCTCGAGATGCTCCTCGAGGAGCTCGAGCAGCGCGACCTCGACGGGCGGTGAGCCGGTCGGGCGGGCAGCGGCGTCGTGTGAACTGGGGCGAGTCCGGCTCGAGGTGCGCCCTCTTTCACGTTCTTTCCCCTCTCCTCCTTGCCGAGACCAAGCCTGACGTACGCTCGACGCCCTTCTCGCGCAGGAGTGTACGGTTTCGCGCAACGAGGACCTTTTCCATTCGTCGTTTCGACCTTCTCGAGCGAGAACGAGAGCGGCCTCGCGAGCCCGCAGCTTTGCGAGGGCGAGCCGCACGGTTTCACTCGGCCCTTCCTTTCGTGCTTCGACCTCTAGGTTACTTCGCCAAGAGGGGAGAGAGAGCTGGGCTTGGGTGGGCAGGGTCGCGCTCCGGGTGGACGGTCGGCAGCTTCGGCTCGAGCGGCTGCGAGCACTCTTTTCCTCCTTTTCCGCCCCGAGACTCAAGCTCCTGCGCTCCACTCATCTTTCGCTACTCGTCGCAGGGTCCGCGAGGGCAGCGGTCGCCCGTCGAGATCCTCGTCGAGACTTGCTTCGGCGGATCTGCGAGACGGGCCAACTTTCGATGCGCCGTCTCGACCTCGTGATGCGTGCGGCGTCTCGCGCGTCTCAAGCGGAACCCCTGTCGAGAGTTTTTGCGGCTCGCGAGCTCGTCCTCGCCGGCGATTTTTCCGAGTCCTGAGCGTCCCTGTTCTTCGTCCTTCCTCTCCTCGTGCTCCATGCTATTCTTCGTCGTTCGTTCAGACAGCTGCAACTCGAGTCTGTTTCGAGCTTCGAGACTGCCTCGAGCGAACGAGAGAGTACGAGAGAGTCTCGCTCGGTTCGCTCGGCGCACAGCTTTGCGCAGGATACGTCTGCTCCAGCGTCCTCTGTCAATCCCGCTCGTCATTGACCATGGACAAGATTGAGCGTGGCGCAGTGGCGAGCGTCGTGCGGTCGTTGCACCTCTCTGCTTTGCCGCGAATGCGCTTGTCGCGCCTGACACGACGCAGCTCTCTCTCTCGGCACAAGCTCTCGAGTCGCTCCCAGTGTGCACAACTAGCACGTTCACGACCTGGCAGGCCCGGTTCGAGCTGGTCTGTCGTCGCGAGAGCGCGCTCGCACCTCGAGATTTCGAATCCGACTGGCCCGACTGCGGCCCTGTCAGTCGGCGGACCGCTGCATCTTGCGAGCGCAGGCTGGCAGCGACGGTGCAAGTCCATCTCTCGCCGCGTCGTGCTCTCCGGTACGATTGGAAGGAACCGAGGCCGACGGCGAGGGCCCGCTTGGCCCTTCCGCTCTCGAGCGCTCGCTCAACCGTTTCCTGCTCGTCTCGGAAGGCGCTCGCTGCGCGCAGCTCTCTGCAAGCGACGAGACGGTCTGTGAGAGTGCGCTGCAATGCGATGCGCGAGTCTACAACGCCGTCGTCTAGCCATAGAGCCCTGCGCGACGGCAGAGGGGTGGCAAGGTGAGCATCTCGACTTGCACGAGCGACGCGCGCTCGCCCACCGACGGCAGCGCCCCACAGAGATAGGGGAACAGCCGGCGCACCGTGGTAGACGTAGTAGCTGGGCAGGCCGAGCAGCCGTCCTCGGCCGTTCTTCCCGATCCGACCCTCGTCCTCGTCATCCTCCTCGCGCCGACGACCCGCTCGCTCGGCCTCCTCCACCTCCTCCCCGCCCTCGTTACCTGCCCGTCTGGCACTTGCTCCTCCATGCCCCGCTCCCCGCCCGCCAAAGTCGCGCCGCAAGCCCTTGACCATCTGCGCGAACCCCTCCGTCTCGAGCTGGTGGTCGACCGGCGGCCACGCCGGGAACACGGCGCCCTCGCGGTGCACGTCGGCGCGGACGAGGGCGGCACAGCCGCCGACGCCGTCGAGGGAGAGGGTACGCGGGACGTGCGCGAGAGGGCTCGCGGGACGAGAGGAGGACGAGGAGGGGGTGAGGAGGGACGACGGGAGGGTGAGGCCGTCGGGCGAAAAGGACGGGAGGAGCGAGAAGGGGAGGGGCGAGAGGGCGTGGTAAGACGAGTGGGGGGAGAGGTGCGCGGTCGGGTCGGACGGGACGAGCGATGCGAGGTTGAACCGATGCGACGGGTGCTCGGGATAGCCTGTGGGCGAGCGAGACAAGAGGACGAGGGCACGAGAGGTCGGGAGCGCGTCAGGCCACTAATCGAGTGCCCTTCTGGGGAGGGAAAGAGAGAACGGAGAGGGACGCACCCTCGAGGAGGACGTCGTTCGAGGCCAAAGTGCGCTTGAGCATTCGCGACTGGGCCGTCTCGATCCAATTGTTGCGGTCGTAAGCACTGCGGGAGGACCATGCGTCGGTGAGTGCACCTCGACGAGTGACGAAGAAGAGGAAGAGAGAGAGAAAGGGAGGACGCACCCCATCTCGTTGTACGTCTTCCAGACGCAGTTGGGCACGACGACGTCTGCGCCCTCGCCCTCGCCGTCCTCGCCCTTGGCAGAACGTACGAGGCGCTCGATGAGAGCAGGCTCGTAGTCGACGAGGTCGACGTCGAGCCACAGGACCCAGTCGACCTCGGGGGCGAGGGCGGCGCTGAGGAGCCAGGTGCGGCTCTTGGCGAGGAGCTGGCGGCGGCCGACTTGGGCCGTGTACTCGTGCCGCTCGGCGCCGACGTTCTTGCCCTCGTACGACGCCGCTTGTGCTGCAGCGCCGTCCTCCTCGCCGCTCCCCGCCGCCGCCGCCGCCGGACGAGCAAAGTCCTTTTCGAAGACGCTGATGCGCGCGTAGCGGTTGCCGCGGTACTTGTTGCTGTACTGTCGCTCGTCTGCGAGCTCGAGTGCGCGGGCGTAGGTGCGGTCGGACGAGTCGGACGCGAGGATGGCGAGGTGGACGAGGTGGCGCGGGTACGAGAGCTGGTCGACGAGGTGGAAGAAGTGCCAGATGTGCTCGATGGCGTTGCGCATTGGGCAGAGGATCTGTCGAGTGTGCGTCGAGGGTCAGTCACGGGTGCGAGGAGAGCCAGGGAGAGAGGCGGACGCACGAGGATGGTCTCGTTGCAGGCGGCCGGCGGGAGGACAGCGCCGTCGCGCTCATCGATGAGTGGACCGCCGAGTGCGGCCGGGTTGCCGAGCGAGGTGGACCATGACCGGGCGACAACTCGAGGTGCGCCCTTGATGCGGTCGCGAGGGCGCGACGAGCCGACGAGGCCGAGAGACCAGGCGGCGACGAGGAAGACGACGAGGAAGAGGGCGGCCCAGGTCGATGGGCGGGTGGCGCGGTAGGCGATGCGCTGTCGGAGGGATCGAGGGCGGACGCGCTTGTCCTTGTACAGCTGGTTCTCGGGGTCGAGTTGGCGCGGTGACGAGAGTGTGGGGAGGGGAGGAGGGCGACGGTGGGACCGGGGCCACATGGTCGGGTCGGTGGCTAGCGATGGCAAGCAGAGCTGTGCAGCATGGCCCAGGGCAGTCTCAGGGCAGCTCGCGGTCGACGAGAGAGAGAGCGAGGCGTGCTTCTCCTCCTCCTCCTCGACTTCATCGCTCCTCAGCCCTTGCATCACGCTGCTCTCGCCCAAGCTGCAGTGCCTCGTGCTTGTGCCACGGCTGCACGTCTGCGCGACTGCGCTCGGCCCACTCGTCCGTCGCCGTCGCTGCGACGCACCCTCCGCTCGCGACCACCGCGACGGCGTGGCACCGCTCCTCCCGACAGCGTCGCCCCCGACCGGCGCGCACTCCTGCCACCGGGCTTCACCGAGCTCGAACTCGACCAAAGCCCCGGCCGGGCCTCGCTGCCCTCGCCCGAGCCCGAGCCCTCCTGCTCCTCGTCGCCCGGTCGGCCTCGACTCGGCGCCTCTCGCGTCTCGCTCGCACGCCCATCGCGCGACACGTTCGCCGCACACCCTCAGAGGGAGGCGAGGCGGCGACTTGCCCGCGCCCTCGAGCCGAGCGGCCGCGCGGCGACGACCCACGCTCGCCGGACCGAGCGACAAGGAGCGCAAGTCGCTCGGGGCGGTTGCGCTCAACCTGCGCCATACTACTGCGTGCAGCGTTTGCGCTCCCTGCTCGTGCCGCCCCTCGCGCCAACGAGCGAGGAGCGCACGCCTCGAGGCGGCCGAGCGAGGCTCGAGCGACCCTCCTTGATAGCTCGAGACCGGCTTCATCGACGTGCTCGAGCGCTCGTGTTCTCTCATACTTCTTAGCTATCGAGCCACCTCTCGTGCGCCAAGCTGCATGAACTCGAGGCTGCCCTGGAGCCGGCGCCGAGTCGGCTCGCCCGATGATCCTGCTGCATGTTCGCTCTCGCTTGCTCTCTTCCGCTCTCACAGCTGTCGAGCCGCAAGACGAGAGGCTGCTGGGCAAATCGCGTGCGCCATTGCGATATAAGGTAAAGGAAGACAGGAAATCTAGAGGCTCCTGCGCCGCTCCGCTCCCCGCCGCACGAACCCGCTCACGAGCTCGAGCTCGCGCCCGACGCTGCTGCGCCGCCCCTCTCGTCGCTGCCTCGACAGGACCGCCTCGACGCACTCGTCGCCGCAGAACCGCCTCGCGTCGCTCCAGTCGCCCGTCGACAGGCCGCGGCACACTGCGACGAGGTCCCGCTCGCGCTCGTACTCGGCGCGCCAGCCGAGCGACAGGAGCCCTCGACTGTCGATCAGGACGCCGTGTACGCGCGCAGCGTCGACGACCTCGACGAACCCGCCCTCCGACAGACCCGCAGGCCAGTGCGGCGCGCGCCAACCGCGCCACACCACACGCCCGACTCGTCGCGCTCGCTCTCGCCGGGCAGGACGAGCTGCTTGTTCAGGAGGGTCGGGCCTCGCAAAGGCAGGTAGACGGAGAAGACCCTGTCCTGAAGGCGACGCAGGTGCTCGAGGCGGGTAGGGCCTTGTACGAGTTGGGCGAGGAGGATGTCGGACAACTTGGCCGTGGACCCGAACTCGAGCGACTCGAGGTGGCGCAGTTGGGCGAGGCTCGTCGGCAGACGGCTCGGCGTGAAGCACGCGCCATCGAGCGAGAGCGACTGGAGGAGGAAGAGAGGTGGGAGGAGGTCGTCGATGACCTCGCTGTCGTCGTCCGCCTCGATGTCGAGATGCAGGAGGGAGGGCGGCAGGCCGCGGACGATAGGGCGGAGCGAGGAGCTCCGCACGATGATCTCGATCTCGGCCAGGTTGGGCGCGACGTCGCGCAACGGCGTGTGCCACAGGGCAAAGTCGGTGTAGATGTCGAGGCTCGAGAGCTTGGCGAGGACCGGTCGGACGGGCGACGCGCCGCGGTTGAACGACGGAGGCCGCTCAGTCTCGAGGTCGATGTTCAGGTAGGCGAGGTCGGGGAACCGGCTGAACTGGACCATCCACGCCGCCAAGTCGTCCGTTGCGCCGTTGAGGTCCGTCTCGAGGGTGGTGCCGTAAGTCGAGATGCGGAGCGACTTGAGGCCGTAGAGCTTGACGGGTGTACTCGAGTCGTTCACGACGACAGCGAGAAGCGCTTGCTCGACAGGGGTGCTGCGGTCGATCCCAAACATTGTCTTGAGGTCGACCTGGAGCGACTGGAGGCGGCCGAGCTCGCCGAGGAGCGTCGCGAGGAGCTTGGCGGCAAGCTCGGGCATACCGGGCCCGGCTTCGTGGTCGCCTGCGCCGCCTGGACTGGGCCGATCCTGGAAGTTGACGGTGCTGAGCTCGAGAGCGCGGACGAGGCTGCCGAGCCGCTCGGACGGGTCGCGATGGCGGTCGCCGACGAGGGCACGCTCGATGTTGACGAGCTGGTTGTACGAGTCGATCTCGATGCGACGGTACAGGATGCGCTGCTGCATCGGCCACAGCCGGCGGCAGATGGGCTTGTGCGCGAGGACGAGCCCGGTCCGGAACGGGTAGTGCGGGTGGTCGTGCGGGAACCGCGAGCCGTAGGCGTACTCGAGGACGACCTCGATGAGCTCGTCGGGGAGGTTGAGGAGCGGGCACAGGACCTTCTTGCTGACGCGCGACGACAGGGCGAGGTCGGCGAGTGGGGACGAGAGCTGGTCCGAGGAGAGGGTGAGCGGGAACGGGACAAAGTGGAGGAGGGAGGTGACGTACCACAGTTTCCATCGCGCGTAGCCGAGCAAGAACTCTGAGGACGAGGCGAGCAGCAAGTGCGACGAGGAGAGAGAGTCAACGGAATCTGAGGGCCGCAGGTCCTCAGATTCCGGGGGTGCAAGTGTGAAGCCAGCTCCTGAGCCAGAGCCTCGTAAACTCGCGCTCTCTCTCTCTCTCGAAGCTGGAGAGCGCTCCTCGCCAGTCGCCTCGAAAAAGCGAGACAGCGATGAGCGGCCGACGCTCCTCGTCGGCGAGAGAGCTCTCTCGCTTGACGCTGAACGACTCGCTCTCTCGCCTCAGAGCCAAGTCTCGCATACTCGCTTGCCCTCTGCTGCGAGCTCGACCCACCCACCGTCCCCAGCATCGCCTTGTTCGATTTCGACTTCCGAGAGCGACGACTCTCGGCGAAACCGGAGTCCGCGGGCGAGAGGATTTGTCGACCCACCTCTCGTCGCGCGCCTCCGGCTTCTCTCCCGCTCTTCTCGTCCTCGCTAGCCTCGTTCGCCCTGGATCCTCTCTCGCCGCCGCTCGACGAAAGAGCGAGCGAGACACCTCGCGCGAGACGACGCGGTGCTCGGCGGCGAGGACGGCTCTAAGCTCTGAGGCGGGGTGCGGCAGGCCTTCACAGTTGTCGAGAGCGTGCACGAGTGGTTCTGGCCCAGCTCTGGGCGGCAGAGTGCTGCCTGAGAGGCTACACAGTCGCGACGACCTCCCACTCATCAAGTCGAGCCAGCGGCCGCCGTTCAGTGTTGGCTCTCACTCACGCCGGCTCTAGCTGCCCGTGCGACCAGCTGGTCTGAAGCGCCTGGCTTCAACATAGACTCGTGCCCGCGCAATCCTCTCCAAGTCGAACCGCGGTTCGACCTCGTCCTCGTCCAACACGGCCTCCTCCTCGCCTTCATGGTCACGCGGCGACAGCTCGTGGCGTACGCTGCATGGGCAGCATCATCTACTGCAGTAGCCTGTTTCATCAATCGCCATGCGCCCGAGCCCTACATGGTGCGCTCCCTTCTCTCATCTCCTCTCCCCCCCACTTTCGTCCACTGACCCTCGTCTCACGCCCCGCCGCAGGACGAGATCTTTCACGTGCCTCAAGCACAAGCCTATTGTCGAGGCGACTGGACCTACTGGGATCCAGCCCTGACGACGCCGCCGGGCCTGTGAGCTCCCTCGTCCTCTCCAAGTTCCGACGCGAGCCGTTTCCTGACCCACCTCTCTCGTCTTCCTCGCAGCTACCTCGTTCCCGCCGCCCTCGTCTACCTTCAGCGCCTCGTGCGCCCTGTACTTCCTCATGCCCTCGCGGCCGCCAACCCGTGCTCGGTCGCCGCCCTTCGAGGGCTCAACCTCGTCCTGTCGCTCTCCCTCCCCTTCCTCTACGCCCGCCTCATTCGCCTCGTCGCCGCCTCTTCTTCTTCTTCTTCTTCACGGTCGCCTACTGCTGCACGTCATCGGTCGACGCCATCCTCCTTCAAGACCGGCCTGCGCGCCGCCGCAGCCTCGCACGCCCTCGTCATGGCCTTGTGCCCGCTCCTCGGCTGGTGGGCCTGGCTGTACTACACCGATCTCGCGGCGGTCACCATCGTCCTCAGCTCGTGGTCCTACGCCCTCGAAGAGCGGTACGTCCTGTCGGCCATCGTGCGTCCACTTTACCTTCTCTCTTGCCCTCCCGGCCGGTCGCCGAGAAAGACGAGCTCACCGACAGCGCCGACCCGCAGATCGGTGGCGCGAGCCTTCTGTTTCGCCAGACCAACGTCGTGTGGCTCGTCTTTATCGCAGGACAAGCCGCCATCGCGCAGGCCAAGCGCGTTGCTCGACCGAGCGAGGTCGTCGATCCGCATCTCGAGGGTGCCCGACCAGGTGCGTCCTCGCCTCCCCTGTCGCCCACTTCTCTCGTCGTCGTCGCCGTCCTGACGAATGGATCCGACGCAGCCGACCTGATCCGCATGCCGTGGATGCTCGCCCGCTCGGCGCTCCAGCACCCGACGGCGCTCGTGCCCGTCCTCGGCGCCTACCTACCGGTGTTTGTCCTCGCGGCGGCCTTTGTCGTGTGGAACGGCGGTATCGTGCTCGGTGCGTCCGATCCGATTTCCATCCCCCTCCCCTCAGGCTCGTCGAGCCGGTCAGCCTCGCGGTCGCGCCGAACGAGCCGTACCTCCTCCCTCCCTCTTCCGCCCTCAGCCTTTCCCCCACCTCTTTATCTTTCTCACACGGCCGATAGCTCTGACACGTTCTCTGCCCCATGCTCTCCCTATCCTCGCGCAGGCGACAAGTCGAACCACGTCCCGACGTTGCACGTCCCGCAGCTCTACTACTGCGTCTCGTTCGCGACCGTCTTCTTCGCGCCGCACCTCGTCGGCTTCATGGCGCTAGGGCGAGCCGCGAGAACGATGTGCGGGACCGCGAGGTGCGTCCCGCCGTTTCCCTCTTCCTCGGCTCGTGTCGAGGCAAAGCCTTTCGTGGCGGGCAGCGCGGTGCGAGCTGACTCTCATCTGCGCAGGAGAGTCGTCGTGACGGTGGCAGTACTGGGCAGCCTGTGCTGGAGCATCAAGCGGTACACGTGCGTCGACGAGTCCTCATTTTCCTCCTCGCGGGCGGCCCCTTCCCTTTCCTGCCCACTCATGACTCGCCCGACCCCCTATCCTCTCGCTCGTCCTACCTCGTCATCTCTCGAGCGTCGTCCCTGACGTCCCTTGCCCGCACCCTCGCCCGCACCTGCCCTCTGCTCGCCGCCGCCGCCCGCCCGAAACAGCATCGCCCACCCGTTCCTCCTTGCCGACAACCGCCACTACGCCTTCTACCTGTGGCGCCGAGTCATCAATGTCCATCCTCTCGCGAGGTACGCGCTCGCGCCTGGCTACCTCGTCGCGGCGACGCTGCTGTGGCAGGGCTTTGGTGGGCCCGCTCTTCCTCCTCTCGATCCTCTCCTCCCTCCTGCACTCCCACCTTTCTCTTCGTCGGAACGCATGTCCCCCGAGATCAACACTGACAGCTTTTCTCTCCCGCAGCACGCGCCCGCACTCTCACCCTCTCCTCCTTCATCCTTCTCCTCGGCGCCACCGTCGCCGTCCTCCTCCCGACGCCGCTCCTCGAGCCGCGCTATTTCCTCGTGCCCATGCTCGTCGCGAGACTGTACCTCGTGCCCGGCACCGAGCCTGGACCGGGCTCGGTTGCGACGAGGGACGCCACGGTCGGCGAGCAGGTCAAGCACAAGCGCAATCACGCCGCGCTTCGACGCCGTCGCGCACGATCCTCTTCCCCTCCCGCACCGTCTCCTTCGACACAACGCCTCGCACTCGCTCTCGAAGCCGCCCTGTACCTCGCCGTCCAGGCGACGTGCGTCTACCTCTTTGTCGCGCGCCCGTTCCGGTGGGAGATTGCGCTCGGCAGCGATGGGAGGGGACTCGAGGGCCGAGACGAGCGCGAGGTCGGGAGGTGGCAGAGATTCATGTGGTAGAGTCTCTCTCTTGTGTAGTCTCGTGTGACGAGCTGCAGTCGAAAGTCGCGGTCTCGCTCGAGTGGTTCTCGTTCTCGCGAGAGGGTAGCCTGCGTTGCACGACCTCGACCGGGAGCGGAGTGCGAGAGATGTCTAATACACAGGGAACTCGGGGTCCTCCATCGCCCATGCCGCAAGCCCGCCCCGCACGTCCTCAACCTCGACCTCGACCTCGACCTCGACCTCGACCTCGACCTCGACCGCGACCTCGACTCCTCGCTCGCCATCGTCGCCCTTGCGCGCACCCTCGCCGCGCTCACCGTCTCGGCCCGCCGCCGCAGTCGTCGCCAGATGCCGTCGCAGGGCACGAGCCGCGAGGAGCGAGTCGTTGCCGCGCCGGCAGAGAAAGGTGACGCGCCGCGGTGCGGGAGGGCGGCTCGAGGACGGCTGCGAGTAGAGCAGCGATGCGGCGCTGTCGTCCTCGATCTTTGGCGCAACGACGAGGTCAGGCAGGAGGGTGGCAGGTGGCGAGGATGTCGTTGTGGGTGCGGCAGAAGTGGACGACGACGCGTCGGCGAGGGCGTCGAGCGCGAGGGCCGGATTCTTGAGCAGCTGAGCGAACGGAATATCTGCGGGTGCGGACTTTGGGTCAGGCGCTGTGCGGCAAAGCGAGAGGGGAAGATTGAAAGCGGACGGACTGATGCTACCCTCGACGCTCGCGATCCCAAACTCGGCCGTCGGCCTGGTGTCGACGATGACGCCTCCTCGCCGCTCTCGTAGCCGGGCCGCCGGCACACGCACGTCTTGCTGCGCCCGCTCACGCGACTGATCGAGTGCGCCGACGCCGGGCAGGGCGCAGAGCGGGTCGACCCAGCCGGGCCAGGTGCCGGTCGGCGAGGCGAGGAAGGCGGACCAGCGCGAGGCCGGGGTGCTCGCGCTCGAGGTGGGCGATGGCGGACGAGGTGGGGCGAGATCAAGGGCAGAGGGGGAAGGGGCGAGAGGAACAGGGGAGGGAAAGGTGCCGCAAGTCGGACAGGAGGGTTTGCGCGTTCGAGGCTTGATCGTGCGGTACGGCGCAGCCGACAAAGGCGAAAAGAGGTGCAAGGTCGGCGTCGCTGCGTCAGGTCGGTCGTCAGTATGCCGTCTGCATGCCGCGAGAGAAAAGCGACAGAGAGAGAGCCGGACGGACCGATCTCGAGCAAGACCCGCATCGCCTCGCTCGCCATCCCGAGCCCGACGACGCCGCACAACAGGCCCAGGACACCCTCGTCGGCACACGCGCCCGTCCCACTCAGGCTCAGGCGCTCGTAGTACGCGTCGTGGGCGCGGTCGCGAGCGAGTTGCTCGTCGGGCGAGGAGGCCGGGGACGAGTAGGTGGGTGGAGGGGAAGGGGGTGCGGAAGGCGGGAAGAGGCAGGCGTAGCAGGGGCCTCGAGGTGTCGGCATGTCGGCGGTGAAGGAGGAGGGTGGGCAAGGCGAGAGTGGCAGGTTGTAGACGCCGACCACGCCCTCGGCCCGGACCGCGCCGCCACTGACGAGCGGGATATCGTGCGCGACGGCGTAGGCGTTGACGAATTGGCGGGTCGCCGGGTTGTCGGTACAGTCGAGGACGAGGGAAAAGTTGCCCGAGCGCAGGGAGGCCGGCGTCGTGCTCGAGGTGGACGAAGGCGAGTGGATGAGGGACGGGGTGAAGGCGAGCTCGTGGGCGTGTACGGCGACGTCCGAGTTGAGGCTGCGGGTGCGACAGGGTCAGGACACGAACGTGCTCATCTATGCGAGGATGCACGTACGCTTGCAGTGCGAGCCTGGCGCTGTGGGCCTTGCTCATGCCGACGCGGCCTTCGGTGTGGAGGACCTGGCGGTGCAGGTTGGACAGCTCGACAGTGTCGTGGTCGACGATCGTGATGTTGCCTGTCGTCGGCGAGAGGTCAGGTGTGGGCCTGAGGGGCGCGTAGGCGAGAGAGAGAGAGGGAGCGCACCGACTCCTGCGGCAGCGAGGTAGAGCAAGACGGGGCAGCCGAGTCCTCCTGCGCCGACGACGAGGACGCGCGCGCGTTTGAGCTTGAGCTGACCTGTTGCCGGAAGCTGTCAGCTGTCATCTGGTGAGGCAGAGGGGACTCAGAAAGAAGGAGAGGCGGACGCACCGGGGAGGCCGACCTGCGAGAGCATCATCTGACGCCCGTAGCGCTTGTACTCGCGCAGGCCGAGTGGCGTGTCGCCCCTCGTACTTGTTCGGGCGTCAGGGCGGTGGCCGGAGCTGGTGGACGACGAGGCGGACGAGGTTGAGGGAGGCGGCGATGATGAGGTTGTTCGGAGCTCGTCCTCGAGCTGGGCGACCCGCACGCGGGCTTGAGCGAGTTCAGCAGCGACCTGAGACCGCGTACGGCGACTCGAGCTGGCCATGGCGGCGGGGCGAGCGAGTTGTCGAGGCGAGCGAGTCGCACCTCGAGCCGGCGGTCGCAACTGGCTGGCGACGGCGACGAATGCTCGTAGCAGCCCGCGTGAGGCTCTCGGAACCGTCCATGCTCGCGACCGCCGGCAGGGAGACCCACACGCTGTCGCTCGCGCGTTCAAGCTGCTCTCGCACCGCCGCCGGCTCTCGCTCAGACAGCGCCCACAGAGTGCTCGACGTGTGAGAGACGCACGTGTAGTGCAGAGGGCGAAGAACGAGAGGGATCTATTTGCAGAGAAAGGAGGGAAAAGACGCGAACGAGGGAGAGAGGCGGCCCACGGAGCGAGGCCAAGGGGTTTTGCGAAGGGGAGTGCGACAGGAAAGACGGAACGAGTGAGGGAAGGGGTGGTAACGACAAGCGGACTAGGACTGATCAGGAGAGGAGAGAAACCGGAACTTGCGACTGCTGAGGAAGAGAGAGGGAGAGGAACGAGGGGGTTGCGAGAGCGACGGCGTCTAAGCGTCTAGGCATTCTTCTTGGCCGCGTTGGCCTTGGCCGCCTGCTGCGACTTCTTGTACGTCTTGACGAAGAAGGCGGCAAAGAGATAGGCTGTTGACGGCGAGAGCGAGCAGAGACGAGGGACGAGGAGGGCGAGGCGACGGGGACGAGGATCAGAAACCGAGACCTTGACGGGGACGAAAATGACAGAGAACGGCCGGACGTACTGAGGGGGACGAGGTAGATGCAGTTGATGATCGTCGCAGCACGCTGGCCCTGGTTGGGGAGGCACCTCGCGCCCTCGGTGCGGAGCGCGTTGACGCCGGCCTCGAACGAGCTCGCCGCCTGCGTGAGCTGGGCACGTGCGGCGTCGGTCGACGTAGGCCACGAGGGCAGCTCGGGGAGCTTGATGAACAGGTACGACGCCGCGAGCGAACCGCCGACGAGGAACTGGGTGATCTGGAGGCGCGTCAAGCTCTTCTTGAGGAACCGCGGGAACGGGAGCGACACGGTCGAGAAGGCGTAGTACGTGTACATGATCGAGTGGATGAACGAGTTGAACACGACAAAGAGCCAGATCTGCAGGTCGTCGGCGGGTCAGCGCTCGCTCCGAAGCGACGAGGCCGAGTTGAGCGAGAGAAAGGCAGGGACGCACGGGCATGGCCTGGGTGACGTAGGCCGAGTACATGGTCCAGATGGCGCCCGTGTGGTGGTACGACTGGAGCATGCCGACCTTCTTGCCCTTGAGGAGGAGGATGGCCGTGTCGACAATCTCCTGTGGACGCGCCCGTTGAGTGAGTACGGCTGCGACAGGACCCGACAAGGTGTGACACACACAGAGAGAGAGAGAGAGGGACGCACGTAGAACTTGGAGAGGTAGAAGAGGTAGGCAAACTTGGAGAACGACTCGCTCGACCAGATGGCGAAGCTCGAGTCGCAGAAGGCGTGGGTGAGGCCGGCGACACCGTGCTCGGCGAACCCGCGCCAGAAGGCGCCAAACACCTGGGGCGCCGTGCCGAGGAAGGTCCAGCCCGAGTAGATGGCGAGGAAGACGTTGTGCGAGAAGACGAACGCCTGCCAGCGCTTGCCCGGGATGCGGTTCTTGCCGTTCTGGAGGTGCGACAGCGTCTTGGCGACGGCAAAGTAGACGATGCCGAACGCGATGGGGACGACCGGGTTGAGGAACAGGTCGTACGACGACTCGAACGCGGTCGGCATGCCCGTCGGCGTCGGAGGGCGAGGGGCGTCCTTGATCGAGCGCAGGAAGCCCGACTGGCGCGGAAGGGCGGGCGATGCGGCGTACGTGTCGAACTGCATGGTCGCTCTAGGTGGATCGAGAGGCTGTAGGCGGGAGAGCGCAGAGGTCAGTCTTCTGCGAGAGGTGGTGGCCCCGCTCCTCCGCTCGTCGCCGCAGCTCGAGGACGCTGCGCGCGAGTCCACCTCGCCTGACTGCCCGCCTGCAACGCGCACAGCAGCTAGCGCTGCGGCCCTGAGCCTCTCGTGCGCCACTGGCCACCGTTCCGTCGCCCTGGGTCCGTCCGACTCGAGCCCGCCTCGCCTGAGCTTGTGGGGCCAGCTGCACCGGCTTGGGGAAGGTCGACGCACCGTGTATGGCGAGTGAGAGGCAAGCCAGGTGCACAGCGAGCGTGAGACGGTGGTGGGAGAGGGCCAAGCTCTTTTTGGTGGGCAATCTCCGCCTGCTCGCTCGTCCATCCCCGATGCGCGAGACGAGCACGAGGGGAGGTGTACAATCTTGCGAGAATCGGTCGGTAAGCCGAGAAAGCGAGCCTCTGCGCGCACGGTCCTCGCCCTCTCGCTGCTCGAGCCAGTGCAAGGACGCTTCTGATACAGGCCAAAGATGCTCGTCTGCGCTGCTGCTCGCCCTCCCCAAAGACCTCCCAACGACCGCGTCGACCGGCTTTGTACGACGAGCCGAGAAGCCGACCCCCAACACGGGCGAAACGCCGAGGCCTCGCCCCCGGCGGCCCGGCCGACAGGTGCCACCGCCGCCGTCGACGCATGCCCACCAGGTGCACCGCGCACGCTCTCAGTCCTCGCGACGGCGGTTCTTGGGCAGGCACAGCCACCCGACGATGCTGACGACCGAGATGCCGATGAGGACGGCGGGCAGGCTCGAGAGGCCGCCTCGGCCGGCGACGATGCCGAATAGGAGCGGGCCGAGCGCAGAGCCCATGAGGCCTGCAGAGGAGGAAAGAGCATAGTCAGTGAGGCGACTCATGAGGAGAAGGAAAGGAGCGGCGAGCGCAAAGAGAGGGAGAAAGAGGAGCGCACCGAGACCGATAGTGAGGCTCATGACGCTCGCCTTGAGCGACGGCGGGACGCGCACGCCGACTACGTCCATGACCTTGGGCGTGACGGGTCCGATGAAGAAGCCGACGAGGACGACGGCAACTGCGGGCGGGTGAAGAAGGCGAGGAGGAAGGGAGGGGAGGAGAGGAAGGCCCGTGAGTGAGGTGCTCCAGGAGGACCGCCGACCCAAGAAGACGGATAGGGAGACGCACCTGCATCGATGATAAAGTCTCGCACGTACAGCACGCCGAGGAAGGCGCACGCAAAGACGAGGAGGAGGATCGAGTAGGCCTTCTCGCCCAGGCGCTTGTTGAGCAGCCAGGCGAGGAAGACGCGGCCGAGCGCGATGCCCGCCCAGATGCCAGCGAGCACGTAGCGAGTGGCGGCGGCGGGCGACGAGCGCTTCGAGACCATGAAAGAGACGATCCAGGCGCTCAGGGTGTCGGTCGCGGCGAAGCTGCGGGCACGAGGGCGGGTCAATCTCGTGTGGATGCGCCGCCGGGAAAGGCGACGAGGACGTTGAGGCGAGAGACACCTTGGGCGTCGAAGGAGAGGGGCAAGGGAGGGTAGGGGGACGAAAAGAGAGAGGGTCGACGCACGCGCAGATGATGAGCAGGAACCCGACGTAGACCGACGGCATGCGCAGGCACAGCTTCATGCGCCGTTGGGCAGACATGACGGCGCGAGCATGTACGACCTCGCCCGAGCTCGAGCCGCCAGTCGTCGTCTCGGGCGCCTGCACGGTCGCGAGAGCGGCGTCGTGCGCCTCGTCCGGCGGGATCTCGTCTGTGCGATCGAGTAGGTCAGGGGTCGTCCAGAAGGGAAGGGAAGAGAGTTCGACGCACAGCCACGGAAGACGAAAAAGCCAATGAGGGCGAGGAGGAGCGAGATGCCGAGCGGCATGCTGCGCGAGGCTCGCGAGTAAGTGCGTGCTCGCTCACTCGAGAGAGGGGAGAATTTGGACGCACAGATAGTACTTCTGCCACGGGATGTGCTTGTCGACAAAGGCGCCAATCATAATGGGCGAGATGGCCGCTCCAACCTGCGACCGAGGAAGGTCAGGAGGTGCGCTCGAGAACGGCGAGAAAGGGGGGACGCACGCCGAAGCAGGAGTAGAGCCAGGACATGAGGACGCCGTCCTCCTCGTGCGAGACGATGGTCGTGATCGAGGCGTCGTACTGCGCGCGGAAGAGACCGACGAGGTCAGTCGACGCCGCGGCACGGCCGAGGAGGAGGCGACGGCTAGAAGAGGACTCACGACGCCGCTGCCGAAACCAAGAAAGAGGAGCATCGTGGCGAAGACGGGGAATGGCGGGGCGACCGACAGCGTGACGCACCCGACCGACATGGCCGCCGCGGCGACGAGGAGGGTCGTGGGAAGGCCGAAGTGGTGCAGGAGGAACGGCGACGAGATGGACGACAGGAAGTAGCCCGCCGTGTTGGCCTGCCGACGCTCGTTCGAGTCAGTTCATGGACGCATGACGGGAAGGGGAAGGACGGCCACGCACGAGGAACACGGTCGAGATCTTGTCGTAGGAAACGTTGTAGTGCTCCTGCATCGAGTCGAGGTTGGCGCCGGTTGCCGAGTCGTTCATGCCTGTCACGCGCAGGGGCAACGAGTCAGTCGGGCTCGAAAGAGGCGAGACGACGAGGAAGAGGGACGGACCGACGAGGGCGATCATGGCGAACGCGCACACAAACTGCGCCCGCTCGCGGCTCATCTTGAGCTTCTTGCGGCCCGTCTTGAGCGTACTCGCCGCCTGCTCTGCTCCCAACTCTGCCGCCGCCGCAGCGCGCTCCGCCTGAGCCGCACTCGGCCGCCTCGACCTGCCGCGCTCCTCGAGCTCGAGCGCCTGCGCGTCGCGCTCGTCGCGCTTGAGGGCGCGGCGCAGCCACGCGCTGACACCCTGTGCGCCCTGTGCGCGGATCGACCCGCGGCGTTTGGGCTTGAGGAGCGGGTCCTTGCTGAGGGACGCTGCTCGGGAAGTTGCGGCACTCGCGGGCGCGCTCGAGTCGCGCACGCTCGAGGCTGGCGTGTAGACCGAGGCGAGATCGGGGGTGTGCGGGTAGGCGTAGGCGGTGCGGTGGCCACTCGAGGGCGACGGAGGGCGAGAGGGGAAGGGAGAGCCCGGCGCAGATGAGGGCGAGTCGGCGGGGCCGGAGGACGACTTGGGGAGGTGCGCGGCCGTGGGTGGGCTCGGGAGCGACATTGGAGCGTGCTCGAGAAGGTGCGGGGCCCGACAGATCGCGCGTGCGAGAGGGCGAGCGACGAGGACGAGGCAAGTCCCTTCAACCAGGGTCCGCGACCACGGCGGTTCTCGCTCACGCTCATCTCTCTCTTTCGCGCTCCTCCTCGAGAATGCTCGACAGTGTTACACGCAGCCTCGTCCCTCAGAACCGGTCCGGGAGCACGAGAGGCGCCGCCAGGCTCCAGCCGTAGATGGCGAGGCACGTCCAGCCCGACACGATCCGCATCCAGAACGCGACGTGCGACCGCCCGATCCGCACAGGCGTGCCGTCGCCCTCGCCGCCGCCAACCGTCGACACGACCGACCTGCGCGAGAACGGCGCAAGGCGAGAGTGAGCGAGGATCTGGCGAGACGGGCGACGCAGAAGGGGAGAACGAGACGCACCAGCTGTCCAGGGACAAGACGACGTTCGACGGCAGGCGAATTTGAGGAGGCGAGACAGATGACGAGGAGGATGGGCCGGGCAGGCGACGAGCGAGAGTCGTCGAGCGAGAGTGGCGGCGAGAAGGCGAGGAGGAGGGGAGAAGGGCTCGAGGTGAGTGACGGGCTCGACGCGCCGAACAGGGAGGACGGCCGACGCACTTGGTCAAGAGGCATGCCGTGTACATGGTGGCGAGGACGAAGATGACGTGGAAGTACGAGTAGTTGTACCGCGTGCCCGCCTTCTCGTCGTCGTTGACGGGCGACATGCCGCCGGGCGCACCGCCCTCGTCCTCGTCGTCCGAGTCGGATGCGTCGAGTACAGAGGCCGGTAGAGACCTGAGAGGCGAGGAGGCGCAGACAGAGACGAGACGGGCGGCGGGACGAGGCCAGGGAGGGAGGAGGTGGTCGTTGGGGAGGAAGGAGGTAGAGACAGGGCGAGGTCAGGTCGACAGCAACGGGAGAGAGAGATGAGAGAAAGGAGGACGGACCCTTCCTCGACGGCGGCCTTGAGAGCCTGGTACCGCAGCGTCTCCTCGCGCCTCGGCTGGGTGCGGACGACCGTCTCGAGCTCGCCCGGCTCGAGACTCTGCACGGCCTCGTACCCGTCGCCTTGCGCGTCGGGCCGCGACTTGGCGCCGCCGGGCGAGAACGCCCTCGACTGGGTCGCGGCGCGCGACGTTGAGTAGGCGATGGCGAGGAACGTAAAGACGGCGCCTAGGACGACCATGCCCGTCCTCGCGCCCGCCGCCCGCGACTGGAGCGGGTTGCACCTCCCGGCGCTGCCCGGGTCGTCGTGGTTGGCGATGGCCGACGTCGTGAGGTAGCTCGTGTAGGCGACGACCATGCCGCTCTGGGCGAGGCCCGACCGCGGGTTCGACTCTTGGACGGCGGGCGCGACCGACAGGGCCGAGACGGCGAGCGACAGGACCCAGTTGAGCGTGATGAGCGACGTGTTGAGGCCGCACCCGGTGCCGGCGAAGAAAATGTACTGGACCGTCGTGAGGGCGACCGTGAGGGCGTACAGGCCGAGCGTCGACCCGATCAGGACCCACTTCCACACGGCCGAGTCGGTCGCCTCCCACCGCTCGAGGCACGTCTCGCTCCACGTGTGGGCAAAGTCGACGAGGAGGACGAGGCCGATGAGGATGAAGGCCATCGAGCCGGGGAGGGCGGCCCACGACGCCCAGAAGTGGATGAAGAAGCCGTTGGGCACGAGGAACGACAGGCCGACGAGGACGATCCAGGCGAGGACCTTTGGGCCCCACCACCCGTTCTGGATCGCGGCGCGCTTGGAGCGCGTGTCCTTGACGCCGACGAGGGCGAGCGACAGGATGGCGTGGAACGCGGCGAGGGCGAAGCAGATGCGGTGGACCTGCACGAGTGCGCACGTCAGTGACGCGATCTAGGGACACAGGCAACGTGTGAAAGAGGAAGACGGCGGCGCGGGTCGAGGAGAGAACGAGAAGAGAGAGGGTCGAGGAGACGAGGGGACTCACAGCGAGGACGCCGTAGCACTTGCCGCCGCTGCACTCCATCTTGATCCAGTCGAAGCTCTTTTCGGCGACGAGCTTGATGGCCCAGTCGGTGAGCATCATCCAGGCGACGAGCGAGTTGACGAGGAAGATGAACGAGTAGCCGACCCGGGTCGCGACCGACGAGTTGCAGTTGCAGCTGCGCGTGAGCGCCGAGGCCTGCGAGCAGCTCGAGGGTCAGTGTGTCCTTGACCACAGGGTCGACGACTGCGCCAGCCAAGCCCAACGAGGGCAAGGCAGCACGAGAGCAGGCAGCGGACGTGAGACTGACCGCTTGGCCGGTGCAGAAGAAGGCGAGGCCCGTGAGACAGGTCGACCCGAGGCCGCCGATCGAGCCGAGGAACGGGATCGACAAGAGGGCACCCATGTTGGGCTGAGCTCGCGGCGAGGGTGGTGGACGAGGCGCGAGTGGCGAGGGGTGCGAGGACGGTCGCGGTTTCGGGGCTGAGAGACTGCGCACAGGGATCGAGAGGGTCAGCTCGCGGTCTGTGGGATTGCGACACATTGCTGAGCTCCTCGGCAAGAGTGCAGCCCGCTCGGGTCGTCCGGAGCGCAAGACTGGGTGCGACTCGAGGCGCGAGACTCGGCAAAGGCGCTGCGGTGGCCGGCCCTGCCGCTCGTTCGAGTACACGAGTCGACAGGCTACGGTGCGGGCGGATGGGAGTGGCCCACGTGGCTGGGCGAGGGAGGGTGGACAGGGGCGACGAGGACGAGGTGGGGGAGAGGGAGCGCACCTCGCGTTGCCGTGTGGACGGCTTGTGGTCGGTGGCTGAAGCTGAGACGGTACTCTGTAGATGACTGACGCAGGCGCAGGCACAGCAAGGTGCGGCGAGCAGTGTCGAGGGGGACGAGGGGCGCGAGGAGGAGGACGACCAGGGTCAGGCCATCTCGCCCTCGTCACACCGCTCAAGCGTGCCCTTGCTGCCGCTGTACCAGCTCACAAGCACTCGCATTCGATCCTCGTCCAAATCCGAGCTCGCCCCGCCCCGTCGCCGTCTCGCCTCGCTCCCTTCCTTCCTCGCCGTCATCATGGGCGTCGACCTCGAGCCCGACAACCTGTACCTGCGCCAGACTTTGGCCGACAAGTTCATCAGGCGAGTCTCTCCTCTCACCATCTCCCCCCCCCCTGCTCGCACCCACAAGTGTTGACGCCTCGTCCTCCCTCCTCCCCCTCCCCCTCTCCCCCCACCTCGACCTCGGATCCAACCTCGCCTCGGTGCGCCTGTCCGACTCGACACGTCTTGCTCGACTCGACGACATCGCGACATCCAGGCCTACGAGCCTCGACCAGTCGTTTGTCGACTTCGACTCGGTCCGGTACCACCTCTCGACCCCGGAACGCAAGACGCAGCTCGTCCTCTCGATGGACGTCCCCTGCTGGCAAGAGCTCAAGCAGTACGGCGCACTCGACGTCCTCGAGCGCGAGTACGGGTCGCGCCTCTTGCCCGAGGGCCAGACCGAGGACGGGTTCTCGCTCACGCTCGTCGTCGACCTCGACCAGGGCCCGCCCGAGGGAGGTGCGTCCAGCTCTCCGCCCCCTCCTTGTTCCCTCCCGCCACGTCTCACCTACATGTACTCCCCGCAGAAGAGCGCACCGCCCTGATCCAGTCGCTCGCCCTCCTCAAGCGCAACGCGCTCGCCGCGCCGTTCGAGCGCGCTTTTGCGATCCAGCGCGACATGGAGCAGAACCCGGTCGAGGACGGCGTCAAGGACCCGCGTGGCGAGGTCATGAGCGTCCACTACCGGTGCGCCCTGCCGCTTCCTCCTCTTCCTCATCGCGACCGATCCCTGACCTCCAGCCCGGCGTCTCGCTCGCAGGCCTGAAGAGGCGATCTACCTCCTCCCGTCGTCCGACCGCGTCACCGTCGTCTTCTCGACCATCTTCAAGGAGGAGACGGACCGCATTCTCGGCAAGGTCTTTCTCCAAGAGTTTGTCGACGCCCGTCGCCGCCCGAGCTGCCAGACGGCGCCCCAGGTCCTGTACTCAAACCGCGAGCCGCCGCTCGAGATCCGCCACCTCAAGGGCCTGGACATGACGGAGCGCGCTGGCTATGTCACGTTCGGTGCGTCGACGTCTCTCCTCCCTCGCGGCCTCGCTCGCGAGCGACTCGTCGAGGCTCAACCCGCTCACCCCTCGTGCCTCCTCCGCAGTCCTGTTCCCTCGCCACTTTACGCCTCAGTCGTACGCGTCGACCATCACGCAGATCCAGGTGCGTCGTCGAGCTCCTTCTCTACCTCTCCTCCCGCTCGAGCCCGAGCACGCGCTCACCGCCTCTCTCCCTCTCCCTCGTCCTTCCGGCCTCGACCTGAGACAGCTCTTCCGCGACTTCCTCCACTACAACATCAAGTGCAGCAAGGCGTACCTCCACTCGCGCCTGCGCGTGCGCACGACGAGCTTCCTCAAGGTCTTGCGGCGCGCCCAGCCCGAGCCCGTCGAGGAGGGCGAGCGCAAGACGGCCAGGTGCGTCCTCTCCTCTCACTCTCTTTCCTCTGTCCTCTCTCTCTCTTTCTCTCTCTCTCAGGGTCGGTTGCCGAGGGCGGTCGGCGCAGAAGCGGCGCCGGTGGACGTCGAGAAAGCCGATCTGACGCACCTTGAACCTTCCGCAGCGGTAGGACCTTTGTGCGCTCGTAGATCTCGCTCGCAGGTCGTGGAATGGACTCTTTTTGTGCATGTTTACGGTTGCGTGTCGACGACCGTGCAGGACGAGCGAGGCGCGAGCGTCGCGCCGGAGCGAAAGAGCGCGGGCGAGGCGGGCCGTCACTTTCTCCCTTGGACTTTCTTGGGCCTCAGGGCTCCGCGCTTTCAGTGCTAGTCTCGATTGGGCTCGTTCCCTCGCTTCGGCACGAGGTTTCGGAAGTTGAGAGAGCACTCGCTGCACGTTCGGGCAGCGAGCAGGAGATGGTTGCGGTTCGGCAGCTCTCGGCGCTCGCCTCTCGGGCCAGTGAAAGGGAAAGCCGCATCATCGTTACAGGCTCGAGACAAAGTAAGGAACGACCCATCGCCACCGCTCCTGCCCACCGAGCCCGACCAAGACTCGCCCGCTCAGACCTCGACGCCCTCGTCCTTCTCGCCCTCCTTGCCGCCAACGACGCCCTCGGGCACCTGCTCGTACGCGTCGTACAGGACCTCGGTGCGGATGACGTACTTGGCGCCGCCCTCGCCGACCGGGCTGCCCTCGTGCAGGAGCGAGCCGCGCGAGTCGCCGTGCGGGAAGACGAGGGCGCAGCCCTGCGACGGCTTGACGGGAAAGGCGTTGAGCGTCGACGGGCGCGACGAGGGGAGGAAGAAGGTCGTGCAGCCATTGAGGAACGAGTCGTTGAGGTAGATCTGCAGGTGACGTGCGACGAGGCGGAGGGACGAGGTGGACGACGACGGTGGGGGAGAGACACGTTGACGAGGAGGGGCGGGAGGGAGCGTTCTTCAGTCCACGTGTGCCAGAGTTTTGAGAGAGTAGAGAAAGGGGCGGACGCACGAGGAAGGTCAACCTCGACCACTGCGGCTTGTCGTGGGGCGACGAGTCGTACAGGTACTCGCCCTGCAGGCACGTAGACGAGCGTCAGTTGAGCGGCACTTGCCGCCAGCACCCGGCGAGCGCAGCTTAGTGGGCAGCGCCGAGCCGGCCGCAAATCGGAGCGGACAGGCGAACGCACCGTTTCGGGGTCGACGCCGCTCGCCGGCCACGCGCCGTCGATGTGCGGGCGGTAGATGGCGCCAGGGACGTAGCGGTACACTGATGGGGCAGGCGGGCGTAGAGGAGGAACGCGAAGGGAGTGAGGTGAACGGTTGGCGGGCGAGGAAGAGGCGAGAGGGCGCGACGACCGAGGAGAGCGACGAGGAGGGGCGTGAGAGAAAGGAAGACAGGTGCATGAGAGAGTGAGTGCGGGGCGACGACAGGGCGAGGGAGGGAAAGCGAGAGAGAGACGCACCCCGGAAGCGGGCGTTGATGCCGCGCACCCTCTTGCCGTCGATGAGCTGGGGGCACAGGTGGAGGAACCTGGCGCAGAACGTGTCGAGGAACGGCTTGTCGGCGAGCCAGTACAAGTTGTGCGCGAGGACGCTCTGGTCGCCGTCGACGGGCTGGTCGGGGCGGAACCCGACGGCCTCGGCGTGCGCGAGGATGCTGCGGCACTCGGCGGGCGACAGGACGTTGGTGAGGAGGAAGGCGCCGGGGACATGCGGCACGTCGAGACGCTCGACGGGCGTGGGCGGCGACGGCGAGAGCCGGATGGCGCCGGGCGAGGACGAGAAGAGGAGGGCCGGGTGGAGGTTGGGCGGGAGGCGGTCGGCGGCAGGGACGGTGTGGAGGAGCGAGAACTGCGACGCGAGTGCGTCACGTTCGGCGGGTGCTGCGGGTGAGAGAGGCTGTCAGTAGGAGGCAGGAGGCAGGAGGGGAGGGAGGGAAGGAAGGGAAGAGGGCCCGAGGAACGCACGAGGGAAGCGGCCGGCGACGATGTCGCGGTAGATGCCCTCGTCTGCGGGTTTGCGGTGGATCCACTCGTGTTGGCGTACGACGACCTGGCCCACGGTACCGCGCACGAGGCCGTCGTCGTCGCCGGGTCGGGGCTCGCCGTTGGTGCAGCGCAGGACGGCGTCGAGGACGCGCAGGACCATGTCGTCGCCGAATGAGCCGTCGGACCTCGAGGCGGCATCACAGTCGCGCACCCAACGCTGGAGTGCGCCGAGCTTGGGGTGCTGGTCGCGGATGCGGAGCTCGGCGAGGAGGACGAGGGCGTCGACGTGGCGGTGGTGGGTGAGGGCGGCCGAGATGCGCGACGAGAGCGAGTTGCCTGTGACGGTGTCGACAGAGTCAGTCGAGGCCATCGAGACGGCCGACGAGAGGAACGAGGACGCACCGGTTCCGGCGAGGTCGGCGGCGGTGCGCTGAAAGTCAAACACGGCGCGGCGCAGCGGGCGCAGGTGAGGCGTGTTGTGCTTGTCGGCGAGGAGGTCGGGATGCTTGACGAGCGTGTCGAGCGTCTTGACGGCGTAGGCGAGCTCGGCGGGGCTGACGAGGCCGCCGAGAAAGTCGCGAGCAGACGAGTCGACGTTGGCGTGGTCGTCGTCGGCCGAGTCGGGCGAGGCGAGGGTAGCGTGGGCGGCTTGTTGCTCGAGTCGGCGTTTCTTGAGGGCCTTGCCGTGCTTGCCCATGGCGTGCTCGGCGGTGAAGGGGGGATGCGAGAGCACGGAGGACGAGGCGGTGCTCGTCGAGAGCGAGAGTGGCGACGACGACGCCGATCTAGGTGCAGCGAGTTGCGGGTGCTGCAGTTGAGGTGTGCGATTAGCTCTGGCGCAGCTCTGCCGTGCCGAGTGCTGTGCGGAGCGCGACAGACGATTCCGAGCGACCCTTCAAGTCTCGCCGGCTGCGATGAGGTCCGCCTCGCGTCGGCCTCACTCTCGCTGCCACGAACGCGGCCAGGTGCGCACCACAGGCTGGGCCACTGCTCCTACAGGCTGCTCCTACCTGCGCTCGCCGTCGCCGCCTCGTTCTTCGCCTCGCCTCGCCCCTCACCTCGACCTCAACCGCGACCGCACCACCCGGCAAGCTGTCTCGAGCATCGCCGAGACGGTCATGGCATGTGACGAGCCGAGTATTGCAAGCGCAGGGCGCGGCCGGGACCCTTACAGCAGGTGCGCCCCCTCTCCTCCGGCGCCCACACTCGCCGCGCTGACCCTCGCCTCGCTCGCAGCTGCAACTGGCGTCAGCCTCGAGCACCAATGTCGCACAAGAGAAGTCCTCTCGGCCGTTTCGCCCTCCCCCTCAATGTCGCCTCGCCGTCGAGCGAGCCCTCGTCGCTTGTCCGACCTCGCGCGCTCGCACCGGCCCACCCACCGCGACCTGGCTCGGCTCTCGTTCTCGCCGACGCCATCATCATCATCGTCGTCGTCGTCGTCGGTCATCCGTCAGTCCGGCGTGTCCCTCCTCCCTCGCGTTGCGCCCGTTCCGCCCCCGTCGTCGCCCTCGCCTCGGTCCTTCTCTGGACCCTCCCCCTCCAGCCTGTCGCCCTCGCACGCCTGCGTCGTCCAGCTCAACTACCTCCTCGACACGCTCGTCGCCGACTCGGGCGTGCGCCGACCAAGACCGTCGCCGCCACAGCTCGTCGTCGTCGGCGTGTCCCGGGCTCGGCGAGTCGACTCGCGGCCCCTTGCCCGCGCACAGGCTCGCCGGCGGCCCCTCTCGTCGGGTCGAGCTACTCGAGGGCTGCGTGCGGGGTGGGAGGAGGTGCGCGTAGCTGTCTGAGGGCAGTGCAACGTCGCTCGAGGTCGTTCTCGTCTTCGCACTCGGCGAGTCCGGTTCTCGCGACGAGCCGAGCAGGAGCGAAAGCGGCGCAGACGTGGAAAGGACGAGGGTCCACGAGCGAGCCGTGCTGTGAGCGACCGAGAGCAAGAGCGAGCGCGTTTGAGCTTGTCGCCGCGAGATGGCGAGCCGGACGAGGAGCCGCGTGCGCGAGAGTTGTAACGAGGAGGCGGTGCGGCGGTCGTCCTGGCCAGGGACGCCTTGCGAGCGAGCGCTGGACGCAGGGGGCCGTGCACGTAGCTTTGCAAGCCTCCTGCTCTGTATCGCGACGCACTTCTGGCCGGGAGCAAAAGATTATGATGTCTGTGAGATTCGAACTCACGCCCTTTCGGACTAGCGGATCATCCAGGAGACGTCCTTAAGCTAGCGCCTTAGACCGCTCGGCCAAAACACCTGTTGATGGTGCACGGGCGCGCAGTAGCAAATCTGTAGCCATCCTAAAATGCTAGACGGTCGGGAGTGCAGGACCGTCCGTCGGAGGCTCGCTGGAGCGCAGCTCGGGCTCCTCAACCAACCTGCCCCTGTTCGATCGATCCCTTACTCCAGGCTCGCCTCAAACAAACGCTTTGACCAGGGCAGCTTGACTTGGCTTGTCGCCGCAAGCACCAACGCTCTCCTTGCTCCTCTCCTTCCTTTTCCTCGCTTCGTCTTGACCTTATCCTCCAGATCGTGTTGTCTGTGACTCCTACATCTCTCTGCATGTAGTCTTGTCCACCTTGCCCAAACTTGACGCGCCGTTGTGCGCCCGTGGGCCCCTGCAGGCTCGCCGAGGTGCGGCACTGACCCCTATCGCCTCTGTGGCCTCTTTCTCGCGCGCACATTGTCTTGGCTTGGCCTGGAGCGTCCCTCTCTCCCTCTTGTACTGTCCCTCGAGACATCAGCAATGGCAAGCAGGAGGTAGCGAGGGCGCCCCGACCACCAGCAACTCGATTCCGGACTGGTTGAGAACGTCAACCTGACTCTCTCTCTCGTCCTCCTCAATGTGCGCGCGCAGGACGCCCTTTCTCTTTGTATACTACAGGTGCGTTGCTGCGTACCTCTCCTCTTTGTGCCCTTACCAAGACTGCCGATTTTTCACCACGTTCCTCTCCTTCCTTGTCTTCCTCCCGGTTCTTGCCTGTCCCTCTTTCTGCCTGTCATCCTCCCCTTGAAGATTGTCCTGCTCACGCATCTGCCCTGCTCCTCACCCTCGGCCCAACTGGGCAGCACTCGGAGCTGCACGTAGGATAAGAGGGCGCAAGAGGGCGAGTCGGACAAGTGGCGGCAAGCAAGCGAGGTAAGCAGGGGCAAGACTTGAGGAGGGGCGGTCGAGAGCTGGTCAAAGCGCGCTCGAGTAAGCCTGGAGCGAGCCCGGTCAGGAGCAGATCAAGCAGGGCAATTTGAAGGCTTTGTTTGAGCTGGCATCAAGCAAGGCTCGAGCGGGGCGAGTTGAGAGGGGTCCAAACTCGCGCTGCGTGCTGGGGGTTCAAGCCCAGTTCAACCTCTCCTCAACAAGGCGCATTGCGCAAGCGGGTTCGCTTTATGCATTACTAAGTGGCAGCCAGCAAGCCTTGTCTGGCCTTGCCATGAGCAGCCCTCAAACCCTCTCTCAATGCGCTTGAGTTCTTGAGGCTTGAGCGTGTGCAACAAGGGAGACGAGTTTGATTGTGTCGTGAGTGCTGCCAACTTATAGCCAGCTCTGCTGCGCACATACAGGATGTGCGCAGGCTCGTTCAGGCGTTGGGGATGGAACAAGCACCAATGGGAGAGGGCAAGGGGCAAGGGCGGGAGGTACGAGGTGAAGAGAGCGACACACAGCTGGCACAGCAGGCTGGTGGTGAAGACGTGGTTGCTGAAGTGAGTTGATGCAACGTCCATACAGCGCTTGGATGCGAAAGAGGCAAGAAAGAGGACCCGCGGGTGCAGACATTGAGGACAAAAGACGACCGACGGCCACGCCGGCTTGTTGTGCCCGGTGGGTTGACACGCCGAATGGACGCGGCTATGTGGCCCCTATGGCTCAGTGGCAGAGCGTTCGCCTAGTAAGCGAAAGGTCCATAGTTCGATCCTGTGTGGGGGCACACCCTCTTTTTTGCCTCTCACACAGGCGCACGTCTCTCTGCCAGCGAGCTGACAACCCCTGGCTCACGAGAGGCCAGACAACAGTCTCGCCCTTGGCAGGGCAACACTGTCCTGAAGCAGTCTTGCCTCAGCCCTCTACTCCTGCTGCGCAGCTTTAAAGCCAGGTTCTCGCGCGGACAAGAAGAGAGTAGAGAGCGGCGTGGTGATATGGTGTACAAGGCTCCAAGGGCTCACACGCGGTTGCATGGTGTAGTTGGTCATCACGTCAGTTTAACATTCAGTTCACTGAAGGTCCTCAGTTCAAACCTGGGTGCGATCACTTTTTGGCGGTGGCGGCGGTGTCAGTGGTCTATGAGCGCCGCTCTCTTCCAGGTCAAAGTCTGGTGCACGTGGCGCCCGTCCTTTTGATAGTGTACGTTCAACTAGCTATCGGCGCCGTGCGCGGGCCGAGCAATGCTGTCCGATGTTGTTGCACGCGTAAGATCACGTGCAACAACAGCTCGGTTGATCTAGTTGGTTATGATGTGGACCTAATACGAATCTCGTGCCAAGTCCAATGTCGGCGGTTCGATCCCGCCACTGAGCAATGCAGCAGCGCAGATGTGCGCCTGTTGTTTTTTGTTGCTAGCGTGCAGCTCCATGGCCCGGGCCTCGCTTTTGCCTTGGCCTGCCGTGCACTCTGAGGTAGAGAGAGCGAGACCCAAAAAACAACTTCAACAGGCCAAACAGGAGGTTCAGATGAGCCACCTGCAGCTCCAAGCGGAAGAGGGCAACCAGCCAGCTCCTAGGCAGGTGGACCTCACGGTTGTCTGTTTTGACCGTGGGGGAGCCAGAGTTGAAGCCAGTCAACCAGTAGCATCCTGCTGAGTTGCCCCCTGGGAGACACCGGCGTGGAACACTTGGCTGGCTACTGGTCACGGCAATGATAGTGGAAGTTTTCATTGGGAGGAGAAGTGCTGGACAAGCTTAACATCAACAGAACGGCAGATAACCCTGCTGCCTTGGGCGTGAGAGCCTCAGAGGTGCTGGGCCTATGGTCTGATGAGGTTTTGGATTGCGCAAGGATCTGACCTGGGGACCCTGTCCTGTTGGTGACAGGTGCTCTACAGAGTGAATGTGGGTGTGAGAGTTTCAGGTTGGGTCAGTTGCAGGATTGAGGCGTGGGAGCCTCAGGGGTGCTGGGCCTATGGTCCGATTAGGTTTTGGGTTGCGCAAGGATAAGCTAGGGTAGAGGTTGAACGGAGCTTGTGGCCCAGTTTTGCGGAGGCAAACCTGTTCTGGGCGACCCTGACCTTCTTGGACCCAGCCCGTCTGCGCGCACAGCTCCATGAGGAACCGGGCTACTGACCTACCGCTTGGCACAGGGACCATACAATAGTATACCTTGATGGTAATGCAGCCAGATTTGGGCCAATGCATTGCTAGCATCCTCAGCCAGACCAAGCCTCTCGGCCCCACTCGGACCCAACCGGTCTGCGCGCACAGCTCCATGAGGAACAGGGCTACTGACCTATTGCTTGGCACAGGGACCATACCATAGTAAACCTTGATGGTAATGGAGCCAGATTTGGGCCAGTGCGTTGGTAGCATCCTCAGGCACACCAAGCCTCTGGGCCCCACTTGGACCCAACCCGTCTGCGCGCACAGCTCAATGAGGAACAGGGCTACTGACCTACCGCTTGGCACAGGGACCATATAACAGCATGCCTTGATGGTAACGGCGCCAGATTTGGGCCGGTCAGGCCGTGGGAGGCCGACCCGCTGCCGCCCGCCATCGTCGCCGAGAACAAGGACAAGGCGAAAGAGACGCACCTCGCGCTTCTTGACGGCCTCGGGCCGAGCGACCTCGTCGGCTACTCGGACGGCAGCCTCATCGATGGGCGAGCTGGCGCCGGGTGGGCGCTGCGAGCCGTGTTCCGCAGCGAGGAGCTGTGGCAGGAGAAGAGCGCCGCGCTCGGCGGTCAGCACACGGTGTATCGGGGCGAGCTCGAGGGGCTGCGCATGCTCCTCAGCAAGATGCGGACGCTGACTCCCTCGTCCACCCAGCCTTTCACCCTCCACCTCTGCCTTGACAACCAGGCGGCGGCGCTCCACCCCTCGTCACCGAGGCCGACCTCCGGGCAACCCGCTCACCTCGAGATCCGCCGACTCGCGCGTGAGCTGAAGGAGACGCACCCGATGATGACGGTCATCGTCTCTTGGGTGCCGGGCCACGCCGAGGTCGAGGGCAACGAGCGGGCTGACGCCCAGGCCAAGGTCGGGGCCGAGGTGGTCGAGGGCGAGGGCGGTGTGGGCGAGGGGCGGCAGCAGGGCCGCAAGTTGCGGCGGCACAGCATGGTGATGCCGCGCGGGGGCTCAGTCGAGCCGTCAGACGACGAGCACGACGAGTGGTACGGGGGAGAGAGGGAGACGAGCCTCCAGGCCAAGTCGAACCAGCCCCCTCGGCCTCACCTCCCCGCCCTTGTCAACCCTCCTGACGGCCTCGAGGACCTCCGCAGCGAGCCCAAGAGCATCGCGGCGGTCCAGCAGGCCTTCCACCAGGCGCAGCAGGCGGCGTGGGCGGCGAGTTGGGCGACGGCGCCCGCCGGCGCGGGACTTCGCAGTGTCACCGGCAAGGTCGCGCCTGGCGCCTCCTTCGCCCGGTACCACGCCACGCTCTCGCGCCGGCAGAGCACGCTGCTCGCCAGGCTGCGGCTCGACTTTGCCGGCCTCGCGGCGCACCTCCACCGCATCCAGCGCCACCCGACCGGCCTGTGCGAGTGCGGCGAGGAGGAGACTCGGGCCCACTTCCTCCTTGCCTGCCCCCTCTACGCCGCGCCTTGTGCTGCGCTCGTGCGTGCGACCGGCAAGGACGCCATGCTACCCCTCGCCACCCTCCTCCTCCTCCTCCTTGCCAAACCTCATCCGCCAACCTCGCGACAACTCCGTCATTTCTCGGTCTTTTTCTTCCATTCTTCTTTCTTTTGACTCGTTATACCCTCCTCTACATCCCTGTACACCTTTCCGCCAACCTCGACACCGACTCGACCACCCCCCCCCCCCCCCCCCTTTCCGGGGGGGGGGACCCGGGGGGGCCTTCCCCACGGGGGGGGCCGTTCCCTTGATGGCTGACCGTACAACGGAGGACCTGGGAAAAACTTACCCCTGGGGGGCGAGGCAGAACCAGATGGTAAGCCCTTGGGGTCCATCTCAAGATTTTTCTTGGCGGGCTTCCGGTGGGGGAGCTCCCCCTTCTGCCGGACGGTTGATGGTTTGAAGCCGTCCTGGTGCTAAACCAGGGACATGTGGACCCCATACTGGTGTGCCACCGCAACGACCGAGAAATAGGGGAAGGGGAAAGAAGTGACCCCCCCC